ACGAAGTTATTACGAGCTCGGTGAAGGCGGCGTTGAGGGAGCGCAGCGTCGTCTCCCCGGCCGCATACGACTTGAGCGCCTCGGGCAGCTGCTCGATGCGGGCGAGCGAGTCGCCCTGGATGCAGGTGAGCACAATGGCCTCGGGGATCCAGTTCTCCTGCAGCAGGGCCAGGCTGCGCGACAGGTCGACCTGGCCCTGGGCGACCTGGCCCAGCTGCAGCCGGATCTCGCCGCGCTGGATCAGGGCGCGCGCCAGAGACATCGACGACGACGTGGCATCGGCCAGCTCGATGCCGTCGCCGGCAAAAGCCTCGGCATCGGAGCCGGAGCCGCGCACGCTGTAGAGCTGGCTGACGCGCAGATAGGCCTGCACCAGGAGCTGTCGGTCGTGATCAGTGGTGGCAAGGTACGACAAGGGGCCCTGTCAGTCACGGCCGGTCATTCTGCACTGCCTTCCGTGGGTCTTTCGCAACTCACCCTCGATAGCCGCCAGTGCATGGCAGCGACCGTGAACGAGCTCAAACGCGGCTGTGGCCGTTCCTGTTTGGCCTTGCCCGCCTCGCCCTCGCCCTCGCCGGCGCCCTTTGCAACGGCGACAGGTTCGGGGTGGATGTCAGAGGTGGGCGCGGCAAAGATGTCGCGCTGCCGCCGGTCCCTGTCTCCGCCGCTGCGTGTCGAGGGCGGCGCCGTCAGCCTGCCGAGCAACGTCGTCATACGGGCGCCGTACCGGACCGCCTGGACCGCCGACTGGATGGCGCCGGCCAGGTCGCCGCAGCTGCACAGGATCGTCGAGTGCACCTCGGCCGCAATCGCGCGCCGCTCGGCCGCCCGGCACTTTTCCAGCGCCACCTGCATGCTCGATCCCGCCTTGGCCGCGTCGGCGTCGCGGCGGACGACGTCGATCGCCTCCTCGAACCGCTGCATGCTCTTCTCGTAGAGGCCCGTGCGGCTCAGGTACTCGGCGCTCACCATCAGGCAGCGAAACTTGGTGTCGTTGGAGACGGCGTCGCGACTCGAGTCGAGCTTGAGACCGCCGCTGCCGGCGCCGCTGTTGAAAAAGGCCAGCGCCTGGCTCAGCACGGTCCCCGCCCGCGGCAGCTTGCCGAGTTGGAGGTACTGCTTGGCCAGCGACGCCGACACCCGCAGGTAGACGTCGCGGCCGACCGAGGCGTCGAGCGCGACCTGGCTCAGCCTCCGCAGCACTTTGGCCACCTCGATGCTCGAGGGCGTGTGGCCGTAGGTGGCCAGTAGCTCGTAGACGTGCTCGAGGTGGCTGCAGAAGCGCTCTGGGTGGTCCAGGATGCTGGTCCGGGCATCCGAAGCCGGAGAGCGTGCGGATGACGGCAGCGCGGGCGAGACCGACGAGGTGCTCCCCTTGCCGCCGGAAGCTGGCTTCAGTGTCTTTGGCGGCGGCGTCACGGGCATCGCCGCTGCTGCTGCCGCTGCTGCTGCTGCAGTCCCCCTAGACTGCGGCGGGGCGTTGCGTGGCTTGAGGATCCTGTTGGACGGCGTTGGCCGCGTGGCGTTGGTCCTGGCGGCCGTGCTGGCGACATGGGCCCTGACAACGCCGGGGGACGGTCGCGTCGACATCGAGGACCTCGGCGAAGCAGCCGGGTTGGCGGCTGCCACCAGCGGTGTCAGGTGCTTGCAGGCCTGCTGGACATGCTCGGCGATGCTGGCGCACGAGCTCGCCGTCGATCTCCTCTGCTCGAGCTCGACGCGGAAAAGCGCCACGGTGGCCCGGTACTGGGGCAGAAAGCGAGTCAGACCCGAGTCTGCAGCCAGATCGTTTGAAGACAGGGCAGTGTGTGCATCCTCGAGCAGAGCCTCGATCTGGTCCATGGAGAGGCCCTGGGACGCAGCGAATAGCTCCATCTCGGCCTGCTTGAGCACCACCCTCGCCCTCCGGATCGGGGTCTGCTGGTCGCGATAGATGCTCTTAGCAGCGTCGAGGAGCTGGACGGCAGCCGCCGCCGCCTCTTCGTGGTGGTAGCGCGGCTCGAGGGCGGCAACGCAGTGCTCGAGCATCAGCGCGGCCGCCTTGGGACGGTCGCGGAAGCCCACCATCCAGGCGGCAATGCTCGAATCCGCCTCGTCTTGCGTGGCCGCTGCCGCCTGCGGCTTGAACAGGTCAAACACGCAGAGCTCGATCGCCGCCTTGAGGAGTACGGCCAAGGAGGACCAGTCGGCATGCCGAAAGACGGCGAACGCGCTCGATCGCGACGCGTCGTCCTCGAGCCGCTGCCAGGCGCTGAGCGGCAGCGCGAAGATGGCCTCGCGGTAGGCCCCGACCGCCTTGGGCTTGTTCGAGCCGAGCCGGTAGGCGACCGCAAGGTGCTCCCACTTTTTGCTCATGCCCTCCTGTCGCTTTTCGGCCTCGGCGGGGGAGATGATGGAGCCGGAGGCGGGGCCGTCCTTGCCTTGCTCGTCGTCGCCTGCATCCTCGTCCATTCGAGTGCCTTGCCAGTCGCGACAGAGCCGCACAGAGTCGGCGCCAGTGCGGCATGCCGGCTCGAGAAAGCGGACGGCAGCGTCGTACTGCCGATCCGCGTACAGCCGTCCGCCGAGGTTGTAGAAGCTGCACGAGAGCAGGGACAAGTTCTGGCTGCGAACGTCGGCGGGCAGCGCCGCTCTCGTCGCGGCCGCCTCGACGAGGTCCGAGCATCGCGAGAGGTACGCGTAGCATTCTTGCTGGCGCGGCCGGGAGGCCGTTTGGAAGCGGGCGTTGGCGAGGAAGCGGAACGTGTAGACGAGGTTGGTCAGCTGGTCGAGCGGCGTTGGCATCGTCTCTGCTGGTGCGTCTTGAGAATCTTGCCCTTCAATGTCGAGGCCGTGGTGCAGCGCCGCGCACTGCAGTTGCAGCACCGCCTCGAGCAGTTGCAGCGCTGCAGCAGCCAGATCTGAAGGCGTGGCTCCCGGCGATGCGTCCCTGCCGTCGGGCGTGGACGGTCGAGCCGCTGCTGCTGCTGCTGCTTTTGCTTTCACGCCGCTGTCGACCGCTGCTAGAGCCCTTCTCCGTACCTGATCGAGCAGGCGGTGCAGCTTGGCCAGGCCCGAGGGTCGATCGGTCGATGGCCAGCCGCTGATGGCGTGCAGCGCGGCCGTCGCCTCCGAAAGAGTCTGATCGGTGGAGCCATCGTCGACGTCGCCTTTCAGTGCCTGGTCCAAAGTGACGACGGCCTTGGTCAGCTTGCCGGATAGCCGGATGAGGGCGTCGTCCGACAGCAGGGACCTTGCATCCCCGTCGCGAGATGAAGGCTCGTCTGAGCAAGGAGGCGCGGAAGCTGAGGCCGCTGAACCAGCATCGCCGGCGGTCATCGCATTGGTTGCTAGATCGATGCCATCGGCGCTCCCGACCTTAGACGACATGGCGAGGACGCAGAGACGGACATAGGGTCAGCTGAAGTTCACACTCATCAAGGAGCACGTGAGGCTTCGACGACTCACCTTCTTGGCCAAGGCGAGCCAGTTCTCGCAGAAGCGGACGAAGCCCTCGCCTGCGCAAAACTCTCCGCTCCGTTGCCGTGCCGCTTCGACAAGGTCCTGGAACACCTGCTGGACCGCCGCAAACGCCGCTCGAGCGTCGCCTCCCTCTGCGACCTCGCTGCGCACGCAGCTGGTCCCGGTCCGTGCGACGCGATCCCAGAAGGCTGCGGCGTCGATGTCGCTGATCGTCAGGAGCACCTGCAGGGCCACGCCACGAAGGGGCAGGCTGCGGATGCCGGTCTGGCCGCCCAGCCGCTGCAGGCATCGTGCAATGCAGCGTTCTACCAGGTAGGCGGCTCGGTCTGCCGCCTTGACGTTCGAGGGCGAGGCTATCCGTAGCCGTCTCTGCCAGGCAAGAGCTCCGTCGGGGTGCTCGAGGAGCCTCACCGCCGCTAGCAGCTGCTCGTCGGTGTGCAGCGTTTCGAGGTAGCAGTGGACGACCTGGCTCTGCAGTTCGACGAAGAATGACGCCTTACCGATGCTGAGCTGACGATCGGACAGCCGGGCTGCCGAGTCGAGTTGTTCGCCGGCCGTGCTACCAGAGCCAGGATCAAGGGCGTCCTCTGCAAAGACGTGGCTCCGCAGATGGACGAGCTCCTCGGCTGCAACGTCGCGAAGGTCGAGAGCGACGAGCTTGCCCACGTAGCGCAGCATGACGGTCTCCACCTCGAGCTCCTTGCCCTTGGCCGTCGCGGCTCTGGGCGAGACGGAGTCGCGGAGGAGGAAGCGGGTTGCGATGCGGAAGGCGTCGACGAGGGCTTTGACACACGACGGCGTGGGCCCGCTGCTTGTCGACGCGGCGACGGCTGCAGTGCGGCCGACACGAGCGGCAGCGCTACCACTGGTGGTGGTCCGAGCGACTGAGCTCCCAGCTCTTGCCGCCCTCGCAGAGGTGGCGGACGTCGTCGTCTGCTTCTCGGCGCTCGATTTCCAGCCAGCGTCGGTCAGCGCCGTGGTGGTGCCGAGGACGGCGTTGACGATCTGCTTGGCAAAGTACGATGCGCGGGCGGGAGTGAGGGGCTTGATCTGGGCGAGGTCTGGTCCCGTCTCTGGCCTTGCGTCCAGCTCCGGCCCCAGCCCCAGACCAAGGTCGGAGAGCGAGGTTCCGAGGTGGCCGCAGATGGCCAGCAGCAGGCGAGGAGTGCACTGGAATGCATCGGCCAGGCGGGCCAAGATCTGCTCGTCGTTGAGCGGAGGCTCAGGCTGCTGCTGCTCTTTGGCAGCAAGGGGTGCCGCTGCAGCGCCTGCTTTGGTGGGCCGGCCGGGTCTGGTCGCTACCCGAGCTGATGGTGCAGCTTTGGAAGAGGATGAGGTGGTGGTGGTGGTGGTGGTGGTGGTGGTGGACGCGGATGCAGGTGCAGGTGCCGACGCATTGCGGGTGGAAGGCTGTGCGCGGACGCTAGTGCTGCTGCTGCGGCTGATTGTAGGGGCCGAAGAGGGAGGAGGGGCCCGTCTGGACGTGGAAGCGGCGGAGGAGGTCACGGACGCAGCGGCCGTCCTGGCTCTCGTCGATGATGTCGTCGTCGTCCGCGAGGATGACGCCGGTGCGTCCGAGGTGGAAGCTTTGGTGGCCACCTTTCGAGTCCTCGTCGCTGACGCCGAGGAGCGCGAGGACGAGGGCGGAGCATCCGCCTCGCTCGAAGGAGCCGTAGCCGCGCTCGAGGAAGGAGGGGCCGAGGAAGAGGAGAATTTCGAGGCGGCAGCTGTCCTACGAGGCCTTGCGGATGGCGCTGCGGCTGCACCGGTGGCGGTAGTGGCAGTGGTGACCTTGGTCGGCATGGTCGGTGGTGGAAAGGGTGGTGGTCACTTGGAGATCGAGGTCCGGGAGTGCGCCCAGTGTGGATGGCTGCAGAGAGAAGGAGGGGGGGAGCGGGGTGCGAGTGTCGGCCGGTGTGTCTATCGCATGTTTCTATGGGTCGACGTGGTTGCGCTGCGCTGCGCTGCTTGGATGCCGCCGTGCTAGCTTGATCGGTGGCAGAAGGGAGAGAGAGGTGTGTGGGTTGGTGGTGAGGTGAAGCAAAGGCGAGGTCTAAAAAACACGCACGGCCGGCCAGCCGTCGGCGGTTTGGCTGTGTTTATCCCCGCCCAGCCCAGCTCAGCCCAGGCCAGAGGCACCTGCAGCCCAGCGACCAGCGACCAGCGACCAGCGACGCGCAGACGCGTTGCCCAGGCAAGCTCAGGCAGCTCAGGCAGCTCAGCCAGGCACAGAGGCAGGCCAGGTGTTGGTGTGGAGGCCTCGTCGCTCTTCACTTTTTGCTTCGTCGCAACCAACCACGTCGCTCTGCCCACCATCAGACGGCAGGCAGCAAATCGAGCCAGGCACACACGACACTGTTTGCCACACGCGATCAATCCAGCAGAGGCACAGCGCGGGTCGTTTCGATTTCGTCGCGAGGTCGTTAGAGGTCGTCATACGGGGCAAACGGGACGGGACGCAGAGGGAATCCGAGGAGCGCACATCGAGGTGCACCCCCCCCCCCCCCCCCCAACCAGGCGGTCGTCGGTGGTGATACAGAAAACGGGTCGAATCGGAAAGTGTGGGACAGGCTTCCCCTTCCATCCAAGCGGCGGCATGTGGCGCGACGACAGCGAGCGTCGAGAACGAGAGCGAGGCGGCGGTGCGATGCGATGCGATGCGGGCGATGTGGCGCACGACGGGCAAAGGGAGAGCACGAGGGCGCGTGCAGGCAGCGAAAGAGCGAGGTGCTGCTCCGCGGCGCCCCATCACCGCCTCGACAGGCCCAGGCCCACGACCTCCTTGACGACGACAAAGCCCACGCCAGCGCCCAGTCCCAGCATGTACGCCGGAATGGCGCCCAGCGACAGCGCATGGTCCCGCTCCTCGTCGGGCGACCGCTCCGTCTCGTCCTCCTCCTCGCCCTCGGCGCAAGGATACGACGACGACGAGGGCGAGTGCGAGGACGAGGACGAGGACGAGTAGTACGGGTTGAGCGAAGACAGGTAGCGCGTCCACGACGACGGGTGCAGCAGGCTGAAGCGCGACGTCGCCTTGCCCTCTTCCCCTCGCTCGTCGTCTTGCCGCACGGGCTGCTCGACGACGACGACGGCCTCGTCTTCGCTGCCCTCGCCGCCCTGGCCCTCCTCAAAGGCGGGCGACGTGGGCGAAAACAGGTCGCGCAGCCCGCTCTTGGCAGCCTGGCCCGGCAGCGTGGCGGCCAGCTGCTTCTGCTGCTGCTGCTCGTGCTGCTGCGCCTCGAGCGAGGTAATCTGGTTCTCGAGTGCCTCCATCTTGCGAGCAAGGCTCTCGAAGCGCTTCCGATCCACCAGCACCATCGACCGCTTGCGGATCGAGCCGGTGCCCGAAGGATGCGGCGTCAACGTCGTCAGCGGCACGAGCAGCTGCGCGTCATCCGACTCGTCCTCGGTCGCAGAAGCGTCGACCTCGTCGGCAGTAGCCGAGGAGGCCGCCATCCCGCTTGGAACCTGCGCGGTCGTCGTCGTCTCCCCGAGCTGCGCTTGGACAAGGGGAGCAGGCTCGACGGCAGCCTCAGTCTCCGTCGAGATTGAGGCGGAACCGTCGTCGTACGAGGGAGGCGCCTCGATGGCATCCTCAGCCGTCGCCTCGCTCTCGTCTGCAGCGACCTCTGGCGCTTCCTCTGGCGCTTCCTCTGGCGCTCTTGCAGCCGGTGCAACCTCGACGACCTCGTCTGCGCTCGGAGCAGCGTCGGCAGCAGCTACTCCCTCCTCCTCGTCCTCCTGACCCGACGAGCCGTGGCCGGCAAAGAGGTCCGTCAGCCTCCTCTCCACGCTGGGCTTCTGCGACACCGAGCGCTGCTGCTCGTCGTCGACGGCCGTCGTCTCCTCGTATCGCTCCAGAGGCTTGACCGCCTCGGCCGCATCGCCGGCCTCGGCGTTGAGCCTGGCCAGCGCCTGCTCCTGCGCCTCATGCCACGCTTCCGCCTCGGCCTCGCTGGCCACGCGCTCCAGCGGCCGGCGTCGCACCGCCGTCGAAC